CACAACCAGTGCAAAGGTCATGGAAGACAGGTCAGCGCAACCGAGATGCATGCTGGGAGACCGGGCAACTAATCCCTCCCGAATCCGTCGCCGGGTGCAGCGGAGGACGGCCAGGACCGCCTGCCTGCCTGCCAGCGCCGGCTTGCCCGGTCTCCCAGTGGCCCAGAACGCAGTGGGCGTCCTGACCAACGTTTGGAGCTGAGCCCTGTTTGCTCCTCGAAAGGACTAGAATCAGACACGTGATTTTACCGATGGGTTAGCCTTAGGCAGAGGAGCCCATTGATTGCACCCCGTGATTGAGTCGAGTCCCCTAAACGTGTTCCAGAGTTACAAACTGTTGAGCCACGGGGGTCCCGTTGTTCGGAGGCGATCCCTCTCTCGGCCCCTATTCCTATTTGCCGCTGCGGGCCCTTACTCAGTCACAACGGACCTCGCTGTCAGCCTGCTGTAAATTTGCCCGCCCGGCGCTGCCTCTGTCTCTCTCTCCGGTAGAGCATCCTTCTTCGAGGCTAATGAGTGACCGGGTGGCCTACTAACTGCTTGACTCCCCCCCCCATCACCACCACCAAAAAAAACTTTGCAACCAATGAAAGATGCAAATTCGCTGACTTTAGGCGACCACTGCATCCAATCTAGCTGCGGGCAAATCCCTCCCGCAACGTGCCGGTTCTCTAAGCACCCTATCCGTTTATGGCCCGCCTCGGCAACGCCGTTAGGGCGGCTACTTCAGGACTGGCAGCGACGCGAAGTTAATTAAAACGTCGACAAATCGATGAAGAATGCGAATTTGGCACGATTTGCGGTTATCTTTTGATCATGACTGTGCCGCGCGTGATCGGGGAAACGCGTTTGGCGGCAGGCCAGCCGGGCCAGCGTGGCCGAAGGGTTGCCTACACCCCGGGCGGCGAGCAACAGGGAGTCCAACAGGCAACACAGGAGCCTTTCAACGCGGTGCCTGCCGCCTGCCGCCCCCTCTCCGAACGCCCCCAGCCCCCGCGTTCTGGGCGCCCCCACCCCGCTCCGCCCCGCTCCGCTCCGGACTTAAAGGCCCGGAGCCTCCCCACCTCCCCCATAGACCCACTGCCGCCCGGAGCAGACGGTCGCATCGCCCGACGCAGGCCGCGCATCTCACAGTCACTGGAAGCGCAAGGTCACTTCCGGTGCCGCTTCCGGTGCGTGCTGACCACGCCGCGGCGTGAGTGACCAGTGTCCCGGCGGCCCTCGACAGACATGCAGAAGCGCCCCGCTGCCTGGCTGCTGCTGCTGGTCGCCGCCTTCCAGGTACGTCCACCCTCGGGTCCACGCTCGGGTCCACGCTCGGGTCCACCCTCGGGTCCACCCCGGAATCACTTCGGGTGGAAACGGAAAATGGAAAACACCAACGGCACTCACGAACGGAATGAAAATGTGCCGAGCGATTGGTGCCGCGGTTTCCGTCTGAACACCGGCGGCCACCCTCGCGGCCGCCCCATAGTAACGGAGTCCGAAAGCTGACCGAGATGAAGTTATTAGGGGGCTTCAGTTATTTTCCGCCTTTTCTGAAGTTTATCTCAATACCCTATAATAAGATGGAAAATCTTGAGCCAGATGAACGACTGAACACTCCATTCTTATCTTGGCTGCGTTCAGTTGCAAGAGAAAGGAATAACCTGAATATGTCGAGTGTAGTTCGTGGAAAAACGACCGAGCTCTCCGGAACGTTCCCCTCTCATATCAAAACGAAACAATTTTCTTCCCTTTCCGCCTCTCTCCAATTAAGCTGCGCATTCTCCCCCTAACAACGGCAGCGCCAGCAGTAAAAGGGACTCGAGACAAGCGAGGGAAAAGCCCGCGTCCCGGGCGACGTGGCGACGTGGCCGCGGGACCCGCAGGACGGCGTGACAGGCAACTCCACCTGCAATGCGAGCGCCGGGCCGCCGGGCCGCCAGGCCAGCAGATTCCAGGCCAGGACGGAGCCGTGGGCAGCAAAGCCAGCCCAGCCGCAGGCAAGCTGTCCGCGCGCCACCCGCCCACACATTCTTGCTCTGGAATGGACTATTTTCGTGTCGCCAGGGTGGCCGTGCTGGCCTGCCTGGGCCTGCCCACTGGCACGCGGCAGGAATTTTTTCGCCTCAAGAAACAATAATGAACGGAATGAGGCAGAGTGGTGGGCCTGGCGCTGGTAGAGGACTGCGGGGGTGGCGATGCCGTCACAGTAATTTGATTTCGGAATACCAGATTGTTCGGCGAAGACGAGGGAGAGAGTTGAGACAAATCGACTGCCGGCCGGACCCGGCCCGCAGCCCGCAGCGCAAACACAGTTCAGCAACAATGTACCTGTTAAGCGTTTCCCTGGCGGGGCGGGCCACTTTTTGCTTGGTTTCAAACGCCTTGCAGGGTAGGCAACTTCCTCACGTCCAACGCACGGCGGTGCCGCGGGCCTGCCTACCTCCCAGGCGGTCGGAGCGCCTTGCAGGGTAGGCAACTTCCTCGCGTCCAACGCATGGCGGTGCCGCGGGCCTGCCTACCTCCCAGGCGGTCGGAGCGCCTTGCAGGGTAGGCAACTTCCTCGCGTCCAATGCACAGCGGTGCCGCGGGCCTGCCTACCTCCCATTACCATTACCATTAAGGGCTAGACCACACATGATCGTATGCCATTTCGGGCCCGACACATGCCCGCCTGCACTGCAAAACGAGACATGGCCGTCCTTACGGAGCGCCTTGCGCCTTGCAGGGTAGGCAACTTCCTCGCGTCCAACGCATGGCGGTGCCGCGGGCCTGCCTACCTCCCAGGCGGTCCCCGCGCTCGACAGCGACTTGAAGCCGAGATTCGCGCCAAACTGGAAAGGTCGCACGAGCAGCTGTCACCACTTTGAGGAACTCCCCAACCCTTTGCGTAACATGGTGGTTCCAATTCAAACGGCCCCACGGCGTAGTATAGGCAGCAAGATCGCGTCCATTCGTGCCCAGTCCCCAAACCGGGGGAAGGGGGAGGGCCGTAAGGTTTTAGGCCTCGGAACCGAACCGCAACGCCGGCGCCCCCGGTCCCCCGAGCACCGCAACCCCGCCGCGCCTCGCCGCGCCTCGCCTCGCGGGGACAACTTGAGCAGACGCAGCAGTGGCGGGACGTCGAGTTCCGGGCTGGGTGTGACGCGGGGCACCCCGCCCCACCCCGCCGCACCCCGCCCCACCCAGCTGCATCCCAACGCGGTTAATTGCGGTGCGAGAGAGACAGAAAGAGACAGACAGGGGCGCCGCCGCGGATGCATGCTCGCCACGGCTCGCCACGGCGTTTTTGGAGCCTGGGTCGAGGGTGGGTCGAGTCGTTGCGCAACCGGCGTGCAACACACTGGTCGCGTTGCGGGTCGGCGTGACCGGATTCGACAGCCGCCTTTGTTCGCGGCCGTGGCGGCCGTGGCCTTCGCGACACACATCCGCACGTGTCGCGGCCGGCTTATATAAGCGCCGATAAAAACGAAAAAAAAAAGCGGACAAACAAACAAAGCGGAGGCGTGCAGCATGGGGCTGCGCGCTGCAGTGTTTTTTTTGTGGTGCGTGACATGTAGGAAAGTGGCGGGTTTAATCAAGTCGGTTCAGCGCATCGGACGGTGTGGGCGTCCATCGAGAGACTGAGAGAGCCGCAGCAGCAGTCGGCTTGGCACTCGCACCCCAAAAAAGAAGTTTATTCAACCAAGAAAGTTTACTTGAAACGATGTGAATTACTTGAAAACTCACTTGTTCACTTGCGACATGCGGTGCGTGGGCGCGACCTGGGGGAGGGGGGGGGGCAGCGACCCAACGTGGAGGCGAAGGGGGTGCCCGCCGCGCTGCTGCGGACGCCAGGCTTTGGAGTTTGGCGAGCCTGCCGGCGATCGCTAATATGACTTCCCTGACAACAGCAGCAGGCTAGGGTGGGCTTCTGCTGCGGCGGGGGCGGCGGGGGCGGCGGGGGCGGGCGGGGGCGGCGGGGGCGGCGGGGGCGGCGGGGGCGGCGGGGGCGGCGGGGGCGGCGGGGTGTCTCTGCACGACCCTGCGGACGCCGCCGAGGCCGCCCAGGCCGCCGCCCACCACACCGTAGCGCGTCTAATTGGAGGCAGAGGAGGTGCTCCGCGGCGCAGCCTGCGTCGTCGCGGCGGCGGGGGCGGCCAAAAAATTTCGTGAGGTCATTTGGCGCGTCGTTTCGTCGTGGAGCCGCCCCCGCCCCGCCCCCGCCCCGCCCCCGCCGGCCGCACTAATGGGGCACGTCGTTTTCCAGCGCCGCGTGGAGAGGGGCGCCCGGAATCGCCCCACTTGTGGAATGTGTCGCGTGTGTCGCTTATTTCCCCGCCGACAAGCCCTGAGTCGAATCGAATGCGCCGAAAGGAAAACTGCTCGAATTGAACCCGTCCCAGAATTCAATCGAATCGGAGAATCAAAAGTCGCGGCATCGAATCAAGTTTCTTATTTTTGGAAAACAAAATGACGTTCGAGGAGAGAGAAAATTGACATTGAAGCGGGGCACCGTAGGGGTCGGCAGGCACGGCAGGCAGGGGTTGGGGTAGGCGCCGGGTGGAGGGGTTGGGGGGGGGGGAGGAGCAGGAGCGGCGTTCGGCGCGCGTCTCGCGGTGCGGCGTCGCCGCGTCGCCGCGTCGTCGCCCAGCGACTCCAATAACTCGTCTGCACATCCAACTCCTCAGACAGACACAATTTATCACGCTGCTGCTCTCCGGCTGTACTGGCCCGGCTGCCCTTGCATAGTCCTGGTCTTGGCTGGTCCCGAGGAATGTAATTTCCTGTTGAACAAAACGCGCGGCGCGTCCCTTATTCGCTCGCCTTGGTGGCTGCGTTGCGTGGCGGGGCGTGGCGGGGCGTTGCGGGGCGTTGCGTTGCGGGGCCCCGATGGGGGCCGCGCGGCCTGGACGCTCCTACGCCGCTCGCCGCCAGTCGAGCCACGCCGCCACGCCACCGCCAAAGCGCGATCAAGCAATTAAACCGACGGTCCGACTGTTTGACTGCCGCCGCGCGAGCACGCTCGCCGACACAAAACAGCCACACAGACGCACATGATTGGAAACGAGAAATTGAGGGTGTTCGCGGCGGACCACTGCATTGCCGCACAATGTATTAGTGGGCACGCGGGAGTTTCTTTTTCGCGGCGGAGGGAGAGGTGGCGTGTCCTCCAGGGGTGTCGTTACCGCCAGCCACACACGTGCACACACGTGTCGTAACAAGACTATGCCGACAATGGCTGTGGTGTGTGAGTGAGTGTGTGTCTTTCTTTTCCCTTTTCCCCCAGCCCCACATTGTGTCCGTCTGATTGAATGGCTCCGAAACAAATCGGCGCGGCCCGGCCGGGGGCAGTTTGCCCGGTTTGCCCGGTTTGGCCGGTTTGGCGGACAATAAGGGTCTCGCGGCTTCGGCCCTTCGGCCCGTTGTTCCCAATAATGTGTGATTCATGACGCGGACGCCGCGGTCATGGCGCCGAGTGGAGGAGGCGGGACGCGCGGAACGGCCGGTGTCGAGGTTCGCCCACGCCTTTCGGAACGCCTTGGAAACGCCTTCGGGACGGCATTAAAACACCTTCAGGATACCTTTGAAATGCCTTTTGTAACGCCTTTTGAACTATCCTTTTTAAAAGCCTTTGGATTGGAACGCCTTTAGGAACGGATTTCGGAACACCTTTGGAACGCCTTCAGAATGCCTCTGGAACGCCTTTCAGAGCGATGCGGTAGCCACGTGGTAGACCATCGCCGGTGGATCATGATGATGCCAGCGGCGAAGGCAGCGAAGGAATGTAGGCCAAGCTCAAGTCCAACAAAGACTGCGACAGGGGTGGCCAGCGCCGTGCTGCGCACTGTGCTGTGCTGAGCGCTATGCTGCCCGCAGAAGGCGTCTCCCCGCCCCGCCCCGCCCCACCCCGCCCCGCCCCGCCCCGCCCCGCCCCGCGGTCTGACTATCCATCGCCGGCCCGGCTAAAACCCTTCCGGCGAAAGAGCGACCCTCTGCGTGTTGACTTCCAAGTTGGATGAACGGGGCCCGAAGGACCCGAACGGCTGAACCGAGACCGCGGGACCGCGACGCGGAGGGACGCGACGCCGCCGTCGGTCGCATTGGCCGCCATGGAGTTGCGGAGATGAGAAGCCCGTTGGTGGCGGCCAGTGGCGCCGCCCTCCGCTCTGCACTCTTTGCTCTTCGCTCGTTCGGGTTCTGCAATTTCGGGACAGCCGGACTGGCCTGCCGATGCTGGATTAAACGCCGGCCGCGCGTTGCCGCGTTGCGCGTGCTGGCTGCTCTGCGTGCGGGGGCGCGGGGCGCGAGGACGCGGGGGCGCGGGGCGCGGGGACGCGGGGGCGCGGGGACGCGGGGGCGCGAGGACGCAGGACGCGGGGGCGCGGGGCGCGGGGGCGCGGGGACGCGGGGCGCGGGGCGCGGGGACGCGGGGGCGCGAGGACGCAGGACGCGGGGACGCGGGGACGCGGGGCGCGGGGACGCGGGGCGCGGGGGCGCGAGGACGCGGGGGCGCGGGGCGCGGGGCGCGGGGGCGCGGGGACGCGGGGGCGCGGGGACCTAACACGGAACCAATATCACTGCCGTTGTCGTTTTGCCCGGTTTTGCCGTTCCGCCCACTGGTCCGTCCGTGCGTGGAATGCGGACTGTGCTTTGCACCCCGATGAACGGGGCATTCACTCCGACGTCAAACGTGTCCTATTCCCGCAACAATTTCTATTTATTTATTATTTTAAATCTAGTTAACCCGGTGTGGATGCGCAGGTTTAGGGGCGCGCGGCGGCGGACTGCTTCACTCTGTCGTCCCCGGCCCGGCCGGCAACCCACTTTCCTGGAGGGACTTAATCCCCTATTAAAAGTCCGCCTCATCTGCATGGCTATCTGCGCAGCCACGAGGCGAGGCAGGCGAGGCAGGCCGGCGGCAACGACCCCACCTGTGGGAGTCCTCGCCGACGTGACGACGTGCCCGTCAAACACCCGAGCCGCGTGGCAGCGGGCGACATCCAGGCCTGCATGTGGGCGGCGGATGATGCAACAACCGTGAACCCCTTTGCAACCGCGCTGGAGCCGAGAGGGCACCACACACCAAGGTTTCTGCTGTTGCCGAAAATATTTTGCACACGCGTCCGCGGACAAAGATTTCCATTTTGGGCGTGAGGGCGGGGCGGGGCCCGGCGGGGCCCATGTCGCCGCCGTCCACGGCTTGTCCTGCAGCCCCATGCATATTCAGCACGCTCGGCGGACAGAAGGGGTAAGGTGGACCAGGAGCCGGTCGGGCATCACAGTAAATTTTTCTTGTTTTGATTTTGTTACAGTCGAAACATTTTTATTACAACGCGGAGTTGTCAGTGGCCACAAGCAGTTATGCTTAAGACAGCTGAATTCTTAATCATCAGTCAGATGCTTTCAAAGATGACGTTAGCGGCCTCAGCGTTCGGTGGATTTCGGTGGTTGAGTTTGTCACGGCTGTCTAGCTGGTCTCGGTCGAGTTCTGGCTGGCGGGGTTCTGCACGCAGCGCTTGGCGGACGCGCTGAACAGCATGCCGGGCGGGCAGTACTCCTTGAGGGGCGCCGACAGGCGGCCGCCGTCCAGCTCCAGGCAGTTGTAGTAGGCGTTGGGGACGTCAGCGTCCGCGATGCGGCCCGCGCTGGAGCAGTAGGGCCTGCAGGGCTCCAGGCCGTTGAAGGGGTTCATGCGGTAGTTCTCCGGGCACTTGCTGACCAGGGCGCTGGTGGCGGACACGCAGAACGCGTACACGGACGGGTCGGGCCCGTACAGCAGGTACTTGTTGACGTTGGCGGCGCAGTTGAAGCTGTTGCAGCTGCCGGGGTTCTTGTCGAGGCGCACGCAGCTGGCGCTCACCTGCGGAGAACGTGCCGTGAAGGATTGACCTCTGATTTGAAAGAAACGGTCCAGCGACGCTTACCTGGTCGTACACCTGGTCGGCGGGGCAGTTGTACACGTAGGCCACGCCCTTAGAGCACACGTAGTACGTGCCGCAGGAGAAGGGCGCCGGGTAGTAGCCCTGCACCTCCTCGTCGTCGATGCAGGTGAAGTCGGTGGTGACGGGCGGCGTGCTGCCGCATGCCTCGTAGGGCGTCGTCTTCTGGCACTGGCCGTTGAAGCAGAAGGGCTTGTCGTCGGGGCAGGCCTCGCTGGAGATGAGGCGGTACCCCATGCCGACGTACGCGCACACGTTGACGGCGTTGCAGCTGGCGCAGCTGCGCGACCGGTCGTGGCACTGGGGGTTGTTGGCGGCGACGGCGTGCGTCGACACCAGCCCCAAGCCCAGCCCCCAGCCCAGCCCCCGCCGCTGCAGCTCGGCGGGCAGCCGCGGCGACGCTGCGTCCAGCGACCAGACCTGCCAGACAACGGCAACGACCGTTCCGGTTGAAACAGCCAGCACACAGTGGGCCAGAAGACCGGAGGAGGCGACCGAAATACCAGACCCGCTCTGAGCTTCACAGACCCTAACGCCCTAAACAGGACTCGAACCGAACGTGTGACCCCACCTATGGGTTCTTCGTTCGGAGAGCAATCCATTCGTGGGGTCGCACGTTCGGTTCGAGTCCAATTTAGCGGCTCTGGAGCTCAGGACGCGTTTAGAATTTTGACCACCTCGGCCGCCGGTCTTCTGCTGGCTCGGCCACTGAGCAGCGAGTGGCAATCATCCCCGTCGTCCTGGACCACGCTCCGCCCGTGGCGCTGTGTACTCTCGACAGCACGCCGCCCGGCCGCGCGTGTGAGGCACACTGTGAGGCAGCCAGCCGAAGCGAAGAAGGGCCGAGAAAGAGGGGAGAAAATTGGCGGGGCAGTAATCCGCTGAGCTCCCCTGAGCCCGCCCTTATTCCGCTAATGGGTGTCGTTGCGCGTCGTGCCGCGCTAACGCCGCGCCCTTCCACGCCGCGGCCCTCGACGCCGTGGCCCTCGACGCCGCGCCCTTCCACGCCGTGGCTCTGCGCCGTGGCCCTCGACGCCGTGGCCCTCGACGCCGTGGCCCTCGACGCCGTGGCCCTCGACGCCGTGGCCCTCGACGCCGTGGCCCTCGACGCCGTGGCCCTCGACGCCGTGGCCCTCGACGCCGTGGCCCTCGACGCCGTGGCCCTCGACGCCGTGGCCCTCGACGCCGTGGCCCTACGCCGTGGCCCTCGACGCCGTGGCCCTCGACGCCGTGGCCCTCGACGCCGTGGCCCTCGACGCCGTGGCCCTCGACGCCGTGGCCCTCCACGCCGTGGCCCTCCACGCCGTGGCCCTCCACGCCGTGGCCCAGCGCCGTGGCCCTCAGCGCTGGGGCCTTCGGCGGCAGCGCTAGGCTCCACCGGGGGCACGACAGTGGAAATTAAATCAAGGGCGGCGCAGTTTGGCTGAACACACTTACGGCCAGCAGAAGGACGAGAGAGGAGTAAGCCAGCTTCATGGTGGTGCGGTTTGGTGCTGTGCTGCAGCTGTGCTGTTCCTAGAAGACGACTGTGCCTCGCCAGGACCGCGCACCCCCGTTTTATCTGATGCGCCCCCCTCGTCCCGGCCGACGGGGTCCTGTTTGCAGACATTTCGGCGGTAAACACGACCTTGAAGTGCATGGGCTGGCTTAGGCTCGGCAAAGACGTGTCGACGACTTATGCCAAGAGACGTGTTATTTACGAGGAAATTAGCACATTTCGCCCCCTCCCTCATTCCCTCAGACAGGAGAGTTTCATACGGGTACTCTGATGCTGATGCGACTTTGAGGAGGTTTGTGGATCCCTGCGCTGGAACGCTTGGAAGTCGGGGAGGCTCGCAGCAACTAGGACTCTAAGCTCATCAGTCAGAATAATCGGCTCCGGTCAGCTTCAGGCAGTTGCAGGGCGGCCTGACCCGCCATCCTGCTCTACATCCAACTTCTCTCCGGACAATCGACTCGCCAACTTTGCGGCAGAAATTTGCACCGCGGAACCGATATTTGCTCCCAGGCGCCCAATGTTTGCACAGCCAGGCAGAAATTCGCTCCCTGGCGGCAGAAATTTGGACCCAGGGAGCCGGTGAGTGGCGAGTGGCAGACCAGTACGGTAGTGCAGTTTCGATTTTAAAAAAACTGTCTAAAAATTGTTTTTGTTCTTTTAGTTTTGTACCGTATTTAACAGCCGCTGAATATATTTACGGCCAGTTAAGAAATACTCCTCAGAAAACAAGCCATTTCTTGAAGGGAAAATAATATGCTTGAATTAAACCCCCAATGTAGTTGTTTGTTTTTACGTCTTTTTTAAAAAGAAATGACCATATAGTAATGTTGACGTCGATGCAGCTCACTTCCTGTTGGACCAGAAAGACAGAAGTACTGTACACCTGTTGAACTTGGCATTGGTGTACACTGTATTACGCAGCCCGCGATAAGAAGCAACAGTTTAACTGCCGCGGCTCGAGTTGCTGAGGAAAAATGGTTTGTCAAAGCATTGGTGCAGCGCGTGCGTGCTAGTTGTCGAGCATACACTGAGCATACAGTGGATCGGCAGGTGTTTGTTTGGGAGATTATGAAAGGCACGTTTTAAAACTTGTTTCTTCGGAGACTGCCGCAATCAGACGTAATCATCGTAATCTCCATTGCGGAGAATTTGATTAAATTGTGAAGTTCTTTTCAAAAGGTGATTAAAAAAAGGTGCGACAGTCATCTGTGGACTACTCGCAGTGCAGGGCACTATCATGGAGACCCTCCAATATTATCAAATTCGTATTATAGCCGTTTAGGTGCTTTAGTATATTGGGGTAGAACAAGCAGTTTTGTTTTAGAACCCTAGAAAATATTAGGAAGCGTGAATTTACTGTATCATGAGAGGATCTAGTACGTCCTGTAGCATGCATCAAATCCTGATTGTGGCCAATATTTTGGTTACTTTTTGGGTAGTAAAAATATCCGGACTCTTGTTTTAGTGTTTTGTTCGTGCTGTTTAAACGGGTTGTGTTGACCGATTTTGACCATCATTTTGAGGGCAGCCGTCCCCTTTGCGAGTATCATGCCATTTTCTGGCCAAACGAAATGAAACGAAGAGAAAACTTCGATATTAATTTCAGGCATTTTATTAAAGACTCCTCGGGTTTTCATAAATAGGATTTGGGTGCGGAGGGTTGTCATCATCACAGCAAGATTTATTCATTTGATGCTAGTGCCCTGGCATGCGGTCACCACCACCAGGGCTTCTTCGGCTTGGTGGCCGGCGGCGCGGCGGTCGTGGCCGCCGTGATGACCGCGGTGGAGTCGGGCTTCACGGGCCCCGTGCTCTGGCAGCGCTCGGACGCGGCGTCGAACACGGACCCCTGCGGGCAGGAGCCCTTGAGCGGGCCCACCAGCCTGCCGCTCGACTTGGCCGACGTGGCGAAGCACTCGTAGAAGGTGGAGGCGTCGTCGGGGTCGGCAGTGCGGCCGGCGCGCGCGCAGAACGGCTGGCAGCTGACGCTGAGGCTGTCGCGAGGGTCGACGACGAGGCTGTGGCCCACGGGGCAGCGCGCCAGCAGCGCGTCGGCCGTGTCCTCCGTCACGCACAGCGCGTAGAGCGTGGGGTCCGGCCGGTACGTCTGGTAGGTGTTGGCGCGCCCGCGGCAGTCGAAGGCGAAGCACTGCGCCTGGCCGAGCGGCACGCACAGCGCGCGCGCCTGGTCGTAGATGAGTCCCGCCGCTGCCTGCGTGCAGTCGTAGTCGTAGGCCTTGTCGCCCACGCACAGGTGGAAGCGCCGGCAGTCGGACGGGTCCGGGAAGTAGCCGTCGGCGAAGCACTTGAAGGAGGAGGCCGGCGCGGGCAGCGCGGCGCAGCTCGAGTCGGCGGGCAGGTCCGCCTCGCACGCCCCCGCCACGCAGTAGGGCTTGTCCGCCGGGCAGGTGCTGTTGGACACGGGCACGATCTCCCGGCCGATGCGCGCGCACGTGGTGCGCGTGTAGCAGTCTCCGCACACGGACAGCTTGCCGCCGCAGACGTCCGCCGGCGGCGCGGCGGTGGTGGGCGTGGTGGGCGTGGTGGGCGTGGTGGGCGTGGTGGGCGTGGTGGGCGTGGTGGGCGTGGTGGGCGTGGTGGGCGTGGTGGGCGTGGTGGGCGGCGCGGCGGTGGTGGGCGTGGTGGCGGGCGTCGGGGTGGTTGGCGGCGCCGCGACGCAGCTGCCCGCGCGGCACGCGGGGGTGCTGCCTCCGCAGCTGACCTGCCTGACGGGCACCAGGCCGTAGCCGAAGTCGGCGCACTCCAGCAGCGTGGCGTCGTCGAGGCAGGACATGGTCTGCCCGCCGCAGGACGATGGCGGCAGGGTCGAGGGGATGGGGGTCGTGGTGGGCTGGCGCGTGGTGGCGGCGCGGCGCGTCGTGGCGCGGCGAGTGGTGGTGGGCTGTGCGGTGGTGGGCGCAGCCACGCAAGCCCCCTGCAGGCAGAAGGGCGCCTGCGGACTGCACGGCGTGTCGGAGTTGAAGATGAGCCCAGCCCCAAGGTCGACGCACACCCTCAGGGTGTGCTCGTCGGGGCACGAACGCTCGCCACCGGCACACGGGTCCGGCGGCAGCGTGCTCGTGGTGGTCGTGGTGGTGGTGGTGGTGGTGGTGGGCTCTGGCCCGCAGACGCCGTCCTTGCAGAAAGGGTAGGCTTCCGGGCAGGGCAGGTCGTTGAGGGGGATCAGGCCCGCGCCCAGGTCGGCGCAGACCACCAGGGTCCTGCTGTCCCGGCAGGATAGCTTTCGGCTGTGGCAGACGTCATCGGTGGCCTTGGGTGTGACGGCGGCCCCGGCCACCTGCACAGACACTCGGGGGGTTAGTTAACAGCAAGCCAGGGCGTCGTGTTCGTCGCTTTCGGAAAGCACTCACCGCCAGCGCGGTGGCAAGCAGTAGCGGCGCCGTCCAGCGCGGCATGTTGGCGTCTAGTCGCGCGAAAGTCGCATCGCCTTTTAAGCCGCGGGCCCACCACCGGGCCTCACTTAAGTACCCTCGGGACCAGCTCTCCGCCAGGGCCGGCGCGGCCTCGGCGCTCGCCTTTTATCTGCGCCGCTCCGTGACTCGGCGTGCCACGGCGTGACACGGCGTGACACGGCGTGACACGCGTCGCGCCATCCCCCGCTGCACACTGTTTGGAGTGGCGGGGTATCGGCTTGAGCGAAGGTCGGCCCTCGAGGCTGCCGCTCCATTTCCTCCTGCCTCTTCCTCATGCACAAATTTGCGCAGCGGTTGCCATGAGAGAAAAGACCCACCGCTGTTTTTTTCCGCTCGTCGCCTTTACAGTGGCGCGACCTTTGCCGTGACTTGGGACCTCAATTGCACTCGGAGACAAGGGCGTCCATTTTTCCTCTTGCTGCTTGCGTAACTTTGAATGTGCTCGGTCGAAAGCAGCTGTAACTAGGCACATCCAAGTAGGCACGGCCACATTATGTCGTTCCAAATAATCCCCCGCCCCTTCAAGAAATGGTCCTTCAGAGTGTGTGGTGGCAGCGATCCTCCTGCCTGCCCAACTCGGGGTTGGCGATGGTGCCGCGTAGAGCTGTGATGTGAGCATTCACTCAATATGACAATGTCTGTTAGCGCTGTTGGCCGCGAGATTCGAGGGGGCAACCACATTGGATGTTTGGGGACTCAAGATTTCTTCAGGCTAAAGATTTCGTCGGATTTCGCAAGATTTTAACCGTGATTTCACTCAAAATTAGCTTGTTTTTGGCCTTTTGGGGGGACAAGATTTCAGATTTCCCAGAGATTTCTAGTGCTAAGGGGACACAAGGTTTCTATAGTGGTAGCCCCCTCGGCGAGATTAAAGGCGTTTGTTCCTAGCAGCAGGATCCGGCGATCGACTCTCAACACGTAGAATCTTTTTTCGACTGGCTATCCCTCGGGAGGCAGTAGCACCGTGGTTTAATTCTGTCTGTGATTCGGGGTACCTGATAGCTCCGGTTCCCAGACCGAAGTAAAGCAATAGGGTATAGGTAGAGTTCCATTTTTCTTTTAATTTTCAAAATTCTGAAAAGGACACAATGAGCCCGGAAGAGGCGCGTTTCAAAATGACCTTTTAGATTCAGGGTTTACACAAGATATTGGTATAAGAAGGAAAGAGATCGACTGAGAGGTAGGCCAAACTGATCCACCCCAAAGCCAGGCGGGTAGACACAAATTCCTACAATTGCTTTATTAGAAGTCATTGCGCGCAACAAGCAGGCAGCGCTCCAGGGCGGCGTCGAAGCGCGTGCCGTCGGGGCAGGCCGTGAGCACGGGGTGGCCCATGCGGCCGTCGCCGAGCTCCAGGCACTCGTAGTACAGTGTGTCGTCCCTGGCCACAGCCTGCCGCCCGCTGCGGGGGCAGAACCGCACGCAAGGGGGATCCTGCACCGAGTCCTCGACGGCCGCCTCCAGGTCCAGGCGGTGGTCGGCGGGGCACAGCAGCACGTCCACGACGCCCTGCTCGCACCGGAACGCCACGCCGTTGTCCTGGCCGTAGAGCGAGTAGGTGCGGTTGGCGTCCGGGGGGCAGTCCACTGCGGGGGCGCACGGCGTCTGCCAGGCCGGCACGCAGGACGCGCTGGAGTGCTGGTACACGGTGCTGGGCTGCACCTTGCACGCCAGGTCCCAGCCCTCGCCGTCCTGGCAGTAGCGCGAGCAGTCCCGCGCGTCGGGCAGGTACCCCGAGTGGCCGGCGGGGCAGCGGAAGGGCGACGCCGCGCTCGCCGACGCCGTCGGCACCACGCCGCAGTCGTTCTCGGGGGACATGTCCGCGACGCAGGTGCCGTTCGCGCAGTACTGCTTGTCCTCCGGGCACAGCGTGCTGGCGGCCACCGTGACGTCGACGCCGTTGAGGCGCAGGCACACGGCCACCATGTTGCAGCCCACGCACACCTGGCCCTCCTCGCCGCCGCAGACGTCGTCGTCGGCACGCACCCCCTGCAGCACCTGCAGCCCCTGCAGCACCACCAGCGCGGCCGCCAAGGCCGTCTGCAAGGACAGGGCTCCGTTAGAGGAAAAGCGGCACACCACGTTGTTGACGCCACGCGCAGTACTCACAGATAAGCGCAGCGAGTTTCTCATGATGCCAGCGGTGTGGACTGAACAGAGGCAGTGCGGCGCGCGGCCTTTTAAGCAACGCTATCTGCCGCGCCGGGCGAGGGAGGCATGGGCCGTCTTTCTGTCTTACACCCCGGAGCGCTCGGCCCCGTCGCGCACTGGGCTCCGTTTCTTGTCTTGTGATCCGAAAAGACCTCCGATAGCCAGCCGGCTGCCCGTCGCGTCGCTGCTGGGGCGTGCTGGGTGCATTGGAGGCGCTGGGTGCTGGAGAGCTCGCCAAAGCCCGAGCGCGACAGGGCGACAGCTGGTGTCCGGCACTGCCCGAGGCACTGCCCGGCCCGGCGGCATCGGACCGAGCGAGACCCTCAAGGCTCTTATCAGAAGTCTTATTTCTCTGCCCGGTGGAGCAAATTCAAACAATGAGGTGCGAGCGGGGAGAAACAAAACGCCAAAGAAAAGTTGTTCAGGGTGAACAAACAGGGCCAGGGGGAGTTTCAAGACGGCGTGGAAAGGAGGAGGGGGAATTCCTGCCGACTTAGAACTTACAGGGGACACTGGGCGGGTTGCCGACTTTCCGGGAGTTTAGCACCCCTGACGAGGAGAGGGCTGCCGTCCCCTGCCGCCCCCTACCTGCCCCTGCCTGCCCCCTGCCTGCCCCCTGCCTGCCCCCTGCCTGCCCCCTGCCTGCCCCCTGCCTGCCCCTCAACGAGTCGCCCGCCGGCGGCCAGGATGCAGACGGCCTGCATTCGGGCGTCTGCTTCGCTCTTAGAGGGTTCTCCGTTCGGGCGCGTGTTTACATCTCGAACTGCCCACCCCGATTTGGCTGTAGCCGAGAGCATGGCAGTGTGGGCGAAAATGTAGTTGAGGGAGGCCGCGTGGCGGGGCAGGGCGTGGCGGGGCGTGGCGGGGCGTGGCGGGGCGGGGCGCGGTGGAGCGTGGCCGAGTCAGGGATTGGCGACATGGCGCCCTTTCTTCTCGACTGTCGGGCATGACGCCACCGCCCGCCCCGCCCCGCCAAGCCTCTCCTTCCCAGGCCATTCTTCTCGTTTCTACGCATTCGCGTTTTCCCCGTTTTCTCGCCTTGCCGTTTTCCGGAGCCACCTTTGATACGCCGCGCCCGGGCGAGGAGCGCGAGAAGCCTCGCCCCTGCGTTCCGTGCGAGTGCGTAGGTGCAGCTCTGTGGCTTCTGTCATCACTAGCACGGGGCGGACAGTGACTGACAAGCGGGAAGACAGACAGGCAGTTAGACAGACAAATAGACAGACAGGCAGTCGGACAGACAAATAGACAGACAGGCAGTTAGACAGACAAATAGACAGACAGGCAGTTAGACAGACAAATAGACAGACAGGCAGTTAGACAGACAAATAGACAGACAGGCAGTTAGACAGTCAAATAGACAGACAGGCAGTCGGACAGACAAATAGACAGACAGGCAGTTAGACAGACAAATAGACAGACAGGCAGTCGGACAGACAAATAGACAGACAGGCAGTTAGACAGACAAATAGACAGACAGGCAGTTAGACAGACAAATAGACAGACAGGCAGTCGGACGGACAAATAGACAGACAGGCAGTTAGACAGACAAATAGACAGACAGGCAGTCGGACAGACAAATAGACAGACAGGCAGTTAGACAGACAAATAGACAGACAGGCAGTCGGACAGACAAATAGACAGACAGGCAGTTAGACAGACAAATAGACAGACAGGCAGTCGGACAGACAAATAGACAGACAGGCAGTCGGACAGACAAATAGACAGACAGGCAGTCGGACAGACAAATAGACAGACAGGCAGTCGGACAGACAAATAGACAGACAGGCAGTTAGACAGACAAATAGACAGACAGGCAGTTAGACAGACAAATAGACAGACAGGCTGTCGGACAGACGGGGTTTGCGGTCTGAAAGGACCGGAGGCGGGGAATGGAACACACAGCACCACAGTGGAGGGAGGCGTGGGCGAGGGGCGAGTAGCACAGGCACAATGCAAATCGTACCATTTCATACGCGGAGTCCTCGAGGCCGCTCGAGGCCGCCAAAGCCCAGTCAGATTGGCGGCATTAGCGGCAAATCCTGGCGAGAGCTGGAAAGCGCATGACGCAAAGCAACGTCTTCCGTGGGTCTTACACCAGTGAAAGGAACGAAGATCTGCGCCAAGGGCGGGCCTGGGGGGAGGGGCAATGTAAAAATAATTGCCTACAGGGGAAGAGCGCGAGTTTTTACCTTCCAGGCGGCTTCCAGGGAGGGGGCCGCGACGCCCTCACTGCCGTCTGCCGCAAAGCCACCCCTCCTGCCAGCCAGCCACCGTGCAGCCACCCACCGTCCGGGGACAAAGGCCCCCGCCACCCGCCACCACCCACACCCACTCATTAAAGGACTCCGCCTGTCCCACGCACGCCCGGTGAGTGCGACAAGGACGGACGAGGAGCGAGAAGGAGGAAAAGGGGGGGGGGGGCTTCACTCCAGCGCAGCCAGTCGTGCACCTCCTCGCCGGGCTGCTCCCCTGGTCCACCGAACCTCGCAGTATTGTTGAGCGCACCTCGCCGGATTATCAAAGTTGGCCAAAGTTTGTCTGTCTGCCGCGTGGCTCGGCGTGGCTCGGCGGAGGCCGGGCCGAACAACGATTCCAGAGTTGTTTGGGGGAAACTGGCTGCGAATGGTGGGAGCGGAGCTCATCAACACGCCACCCCGAGCGTGTTTTGCTAAGAGCGGTCTATTTGAGTCTGACAAGGCGCTTCTTACATTGCAGATTGATTAGTTGGTGCCGTTGGTGCGCGTATCTGGCGGCTGTCGCCAAGAGGAAAAATCACGTCCCGCGTTCTAGAGGACCAATCATCTGTGCTTTTTAATCGACCTGAAAAGCTGTTTGCGGTTCGAGGGGTGACGTGTCTGGGCCAAGGCAGGGCAATGCGTGGCTCGAAACTGCTTCGTCAACATGGTCACTGGTCTTTGTCTTCAAATCGAGCATAGATACCGACTGCACCCAGTGTGGTCGACAGTTATCGAATGCAAGGCGGATTATGCGCACAAAGATTAGGACATAGGAAATTCGGCCCTCTTGAGCGCATCAAGTGGAGGCACTCGACGGGCACGGGGTGGTGGCAGGCCGAGGATAAAAGCCCGCCTCAGACCACGGACCGGCAGACTTCAGCGGGACAGTCACCGGAAGCACAAGGACCCACAATGCACGCCCTCTACGTCGCTGTCTTGGTGGTGCTGGCGGTGAGTCGAAATCCAACACTGCCAAAGGCTTCAGGCCTCAGGTTCTCCGCAAAGCAACTCTAAACTTGATTTGGGCCCCAGGCGTGCCAGTTGGAGGCGGCGTACCCGCGGGTGCCGTCGGACCTGCTGCGCCCGGAGTACAACAAGATGCTGGTGGGGCTGCGCGCCGCCAGTGACGCCCGCTGCCACAGCCGCACCACCAGCTGCAACGACTGCAACACCGTCAACACTTGCGCCTACATTGCCGGCGGCTACACCTTCCTCAAGACCAGCCAGTGCCCCGACTCGCTGCCGTACTGCGACGACGGCAAGTGCGTCAAGGTGTCCTCGGCCGACGTGTGCACCGCTTCGCCGCCGCTCGCCACCGACTTCCAATGCAACGGCGGCGTGGGCTACTTCCCGGCGCCCTTCGACTGCACCAAGTTCTACGTGTGCACGGCCGGCGACAAGGCGTACGTCTACAACTGCCCCTCCCAGCACGTTTACGACCACGGGCGCGCCGGCTGCGTGCGCCTGGACGAGAACCCCGCCAGCTGCTTCAGCTTCAACTGCGCGCAGAACGCGCAGCAGTACGTGCTGTACGCCCCCAACCCGTCCGTGTACGCGTACTGCGTGGACGCCAACACCGCCCTGGTGGCCAAGTGCCCGGAGAACTCCCGCATGAACCCGCTCAACGGCAACGAGCCCTGCAAGCCCTACTGCTCCAGGGAGGGCCGCATCGCGGACGGCGACAACGTGCACGGCTACTACGAGTGCTTCGTCAACGCCGACAACACCCTGTCCGCGCCCGTGCTGCAGTTCTGCCCGCCCAACATGGCTTTCAACCCCGCCAACCTGCGTTGCGAGGACGAGGCAGCCAGCCCGACCCCCGCACCCGCACCCTAATTCAAGAGATGGGCACTTTGGTGCATTTTAATTTCGCTGTCAACATACAAATTCCGGCAAAAAACCATGATTACAAATAAAATTTGATACCCATATCCATCTTTCTTTTTATTTTTTGGGAAAGTTCAAACACCGTTTATGTCTTGTCGAATGTATCTCGACTACAGCACGATGTCACAATGCCCCACACTAAGTCGTTCCCGCGGATTTCTTCCCGTCTGAGTTTTTTTTAATTTGTGGAACGACTCGACTGACGCCGTGGTTCCGTCGTTCCCGCGAATTTCTTTCCGCCAGAGTTTTTCAAGTAGTGGAACGACTAGACTGACGCCGTGGTTCCGCCTTGTCGTTCCGCAGGTGGCGGCCGGTGCGAGCATCGCCAAGCGGTCCCTGTCGGCCTTGGCGCGGACCTCCCAGCTGCCCAACTCCTCCACGGCGCCCGCCGACCAGGCCGGCCACGACCAGGACCACCCCGGCGCGCACAGCGGCCAGGCGCAGAACGACAAGCGGTCCATGCTGCAGGTAGGGTGCTGCAGTAGGGTGCGCGGCGCCGCGGCCCTAGCGCGCGGAATGTGTCCGAGACAGCGTCTCTGGCGCGCAGAGTAGCGCCGGGCCAATGCCGTTCGGTTCTCACGGTGGGCTCGAAGACCGGTGGAGGCGATCAAAATTGTGCTCCAGAGTCGCTCAATGGGACCGAACCGAACGTGTGACCCCACCAATGGATTGCTCTCCGAATGAGGAATCCATTGGTGGGGTCACACGTTCGATTCGAGTCCTGTTTAGCGACTGTGGAGCTCGAAGCGCTCCAGGCCGAAATTCTAGGCCTGAATCCCGTTCGGCGCCGCGCGCCCCCGTGACCTGCAACTGGCACTTGTTGCAGGAGGAGGCCATCCGCGAGGAGCTTCTCCGGCAGCACGCGGTCCCGGCCACCGAGGCGCTCCTGTCCGCCATCATGGCCGCCGAGCGCTACGGCAGCGAGCCCAACGGCGTGGAGGAGAAGCGCTCGGTGTCCTCGCTGGCCCGCTACGGCAACCTGCCCGCCTCCCCTGCTGAGAAGCGGTAAACAACTAAGCCACACAAACTAAGCCCGCCAAAAAACAGCGCGCCACAGTGTTTGAACCACGAACTTTGGTTTTCAGATCGCTGGAGGCGCTGGCCCGCGGTGGCCTGCTCAACAAGAACTCCCGCGTCGAGTCCAGCAAGCGCAGCGTGTCCACGCTGGCGCGCGCGGGCGAGCTGCCGGGCAAGCGGTGGATGCCCCCGCATCAGCGCGAGTACCCCCACGACCTCATTGACGTCCTCCAGGTCGGCCTTTGGCGTTCAACTTGGCGCCCCTCAACCCGCCGAGGGGGTAAACACTCGAGTAATACCTCGTACACAGAAACCGTGTTTTACGCGTAATACACGTAATTGTAATACCATTTGGCCAAATGTGCCAAATTTTGGCATTTTAATGCCGTAATACACGTGTAATATCCCCGTAATACCACGTAATACCGAGTACTCTGTACACGATTTCTTGGAGTGTTTACCCCCTCGCAACCCGCCGTGGCCTCCCGGACGACATCTTGGCAGAGCGGAGTCCGGAGGGCAGGCGCCGGAGGCAGGAAGACGGGCAGGCTTTACAATAATATTGTTGGTTTTGCACGCAGCGCGAGCTGGAGGAGGAGAAGCGCAGTCTGTCCTCGCTGGCCAAGTCTGGCGGCATCACGCGGCCCGCCGAGAGCCTTTCCTTCCCCATGTCCGCGGCGGAGCAGCAGGTACGTCTCGGCCGGTCTCGGCGCACTTGCACCCTCTCACCCTCTGTCGTTACAGTAGAGCTCTTCTTTTCCCTGTCAGATGAAACGCAGCCTGGAGTCCCTCGCCCGCAACTGGAACCTTCCTGAGAAGCGCAGCCTGGAGTCCCTCGCCCGCAACTGGAACCTTCCTGAGAAGCGCAGCCTGGAGTCCCTCGCCCGCAACTGGAACCTTCCTGAGAAGCGCAGCCTGGAGTCCCTCGCCCGCAACTGGAACCTGCCGGAGAAGCGCAGCCTGGAGTCCTTGGCGCGCACCTGGAACAAGCCGGCCAAGCGCAGCCCGCCGTACGGCGCCTTCGACGAGGACGACTTCTACGCCATCAAGCGCAACGCCGCCGCGCTGCTGCGCCAGTCCAAGCTCTCCACCGGCAGCGACGGCCCGGACGACTCGCAGCGCCACGAGGAGGTGGGCGTCGAGGACTCGGGACTCGTGTCTCTCTCGCGCTCGCACTAGCATTGACTGACTGCCTCCTTCTTCCCCCAGACGGAGCGGCATGACCAGGGCCGCAGGAAGCGCTCCCTGTGGGACGAGGAGGTCGGCGAGGTGGTGGCGCCCTACGCGCAGAGCGCCGAGCAGGACTGGGACGCGGCGCCAGCGTGGTCGCCCGCCGCCGCCTGGGCCGCCTACCTGGCCAGCTACGGCGACGAGGCCACCGAGGCCGCCCCGATGCAGAAGCGCTTCCTCGGTGAGGGGCAGCCGGTGCACAGTGGAGGCACAGTTTACAGCGACTTGGGGCTGGTGGAATGGGCGGAACGCGAGGGGGGAATCACTCTAAAAATTGTGACCCGACTACTCCCTATTACGCTATTGCAGAAGTCTTATTACGTTTCCAAATATCGAGATTTAAGCTAAAATCAGACCCTTATGACGGAAAATTCAGAAAATTTTGGCTTTTACGCTATTACTATTACGCTTAATGCAAGGAATCCGACCCGACTATTACGCGAGTGATTTCCCCCTCGGCGGAACGGGCGAATGCGAAAATCGGCTAGATTAGTTCGGTGGGCGTCGTGCTGGGGACTGGGAGCCCTGACGCCTCACAGAGGGCCAGACCAGTGGAGGCAGCCAAAATCCCGGTCGCTGAACGAGACTCGACACGTGTGACCCCACCAATGGATTCCTCGTTCGGGGAGCAATCCGATGGTGCGGTCACAAGTTCGGTTCGAGTCCCATTTAGCGACTAAGGGAGAGTGGGGTAATTCCGGACACGGGGTAGTTCCGGACACTTTGATTTTCACTGGGTTTGAGTAAAGATAACTCAAAAGCCCGCCTCACGAAGGAAGTTAATCAGTTAAATATTATAATTCCAAATCGCCAAGGTAGAAGGTCAATCCGTTTGGCTGTGGTCGCCTCACGAAATTTGAGTACCATCTAAAATAGGCAAAAGCTGCATCTTTACCTCGTATTTTCATGTACTTATCGTACCTTACCGTCATGTTAAGTCCCATGACTAAAATTATATCATGTTATATGGTCTATGGACTTTACTTTAGCGTTTCGAGAGTGCTCGCATGGCTCGCCGTTTTCTTACAATTGAACATCAAAGGTTTTCACTACCTGTGGGGTAAATCCGGACAAGAAGTGTTATTTTCTTCAATTTCCCGCATTATGTTAGGGTAGTGGGTTCAAAATTGTGGACATGCATCCCCACCGTTAAGAACGATAAAGAACGAACGAAAAATAGCATTGCAGCTATGTTGAAGGGCTTTACTTAATGCAGGGTTGCCAATTTAGGGGTTTTAGTAGATATTATTTCTTATAATACGCTATGAGTAATAATCAATCACTATAGTTCGCAGCAAATGTCCTTGTACGCCTTCTAAAAGCATGCCTCACATCAAAACAAAGCGAAAGTAATCTCGAGTAGTGTCAAATTATAAGGTCGTCCGGAATTGCCCCATAGGTCGTCCGGAATGACCCCAGCCTGGGGTCATTCCGGACACGTGCAGAGCTTTTTTTAGGCGCCTATATCTCCCTAACTACTGCTGAGATTTGGCTTTCATGTATATCATTTTGAGGGTAAAGGTCCATACTTTACTCTCCTGTAATAACATTTGAGCCAAGAAGCGTATTCAAGCTCAAAGAGCAAAAAGAAAAAAAGCGTCCGGAATCACCCCACTCTCCCTTATGGAGCACAAAACGCGTCCGGGGTTTTGGCCTCTTCCACCGGGCTTCTGGGCAGCTGTGCGCCTGACGCCTGACGCCGTGCGCGCGGCGGGCGGAGCGCGCAGCGGCCACGTGGGTTGCCTGCACGCAGGCTGCATGCACTGCACGCGGCGCCGCCAGGACGCCAGCCCATCCCTTTGTTTGAGCCCCGATGGTTTGCGGCCCAGCCTGAGCACCAGGACTTGAGTTCAAATGAGTCCTGGGGTCAACCGAAAGCTCAACCTGGGACCAGGTTGGGCTCTAGGTCGGGCCTAAATACTTCGGGGCTCGAACGGGACGCGGGGCGCGTCTTGTACGCCGACGAAGTGACATAGTGTACATACGTGTGTCCGTTGTCTCTGACATTCAACGAGTTCACAAGTCGAAACGTTTTTGGATCAGTGACATGACTTCATTAATTTGTTCGTAAAATTTTTATAGTTATAGTCTCCCAGCTCAGAGCATGTTTTGGCCGGTGTTCTTGTTCTGGTTTTAGCGACTCTAACACTTTGTAGTCCCAATCTATCGTGCATTAATCATAGATTCTTGTAGCATGTTGCGTGTTGTGTCCGTCCATTAGGTTGTCTCTTTCTGCCCTTGTCGTTCTTCTTCTTACTTAGTGTGCATGGTGTGTGTCGTGTTGTCCTTCCCAATCCCCAGGCGACTGAGCGGGTGCATTCCTGCACTCCTGCGCAAACGGTACGTAAACGTCAGTGCGTCGCTTCGAGCTTTGTAAATACCGCATTGTAAAAAGAGGCCAGGCTTCACAGTCCGCATAGTACTTTGGTAAGTAAATTAGTTTCGTGCTTTATCCTTGTCGCGTAGTTCACTCTGCTAGCCAATCTGAATCCGAATCCGCGTTTCAGTAGAATGTTGGACTGTCTTCTGTGTTCTTGATTTCGACAGCAACACCGCCTTACCGCTTGAGTGTCCTTCGTGTCTTCACCGCATGTTAATCATAGCAACCGTCCCAAAAAGTGCGCAAATACGATACTCTCTACTGAAAATTGCAGTGATCCCGACTGAGGAAAAAGCTGACATTCTCTCTCGTCGGGTTCACTGTCGCTTTTTACCCGCTTGACTTGAAGCGAGTGCAGTAGCAGCTTGGGTCAAGCGGTCGCTCGCTGGTCGGCCGCAGGCTCGGTGGCGCGGACCTGGGGGCCGAGTGCGTGGCGACCCGCCAGCCCGCTCAGCGCGGCCAGCACCGCCGCCGGCCGCGGTGACGTCCGTGGTGTCGACGCCGGCCTCTCCAAGCGCCACATCGGCACCCTGGCGCGCAGCGGGATGCTCCCCGCCTTCCGCAGCCTGCGCTACGCGCGCTCCGGCCGCGCCGTCGTCGACGAGGGGCAGCCCTTGGACCAGCCCGCCGCCCTCAACAGCAGCGCGGCCAGGTTGGGCAGGTTCGGCCCGGTCAGGTACCGGCGGGTCTGCTACTACCGGTAAGAGGGAGACACACACACACCTGCACTCGCAGCTCGCTCCAAAAGATGCAGGGAGAGGTTAACGTCAAAAATCGCCAGAAATATTATGAAAACCGATGAAATAATGATAATATGATGACGATGATGATGAATGGAGATCAATAGCTATCTAAGCCTCTGGAAACGGCGACACAAATCGCCAAGGGGGTCACGTAATGATGGACCGCGATGGAGGCGGCACGAGTGTGTACAACGGGGTGCTTGTTGGCAGGGAGGATCCCGAATATGGGACGCCATCGACAAAAGACTAACGAGGACAGCAGCCCCAGGAGGCGGCGTCCCCATTAGGCTCGCCGCGCTGCGCGCCACGCAGGGGGACCGGTCCGGCCAGGGAGGATCCCAGCGCAGGGGCCGCCACGTCGCCTCCGCCACGGCCTCCGGCGCGGCCTCCACCGCGGCCGCCGTGCTGCTGCCGCTGGCCGCCGCCGTCGCGCTCCTCCGCGGAGTGGGCTCCATGGAGTAGCGCCACCGCCCCGTCACCGCCATCGCTCCTTGAGTTTTTGTTGTTTTTGTTTTGAAAAATGTAGCGAGGTTCAGTGTATCTGAATGAGTCGAATGTATCTCCTCTGAATTTCGGTAAAGATGCCCAGCACTAGTTTTTGTCGCTGAGTATAGTATAAGGCCCAAACTTGGACTTTGCCTAAGTTTTTTTGCAGAATGTTTCTCCACGTGGATCGCTACTCTATGCACGGAGCTCCACTTCTCGGTGGAACAACGGAGCGCGCTTCGCAGCGGCCTCTTCCTTTGTGTGCCTCGCGATGCTGTTTTGTTAGGTAGTTGTCGATTGCCTAGGACGCTTGCCTGTTAGGCGCTCTCAATGGGAAAATGGGCGCCTGTTGTGTATCCCAGCTTATTCGTATAGTTTTTAAAATAGTCAACGAAATTCCAAAGAAATACGACGAATTTTACGAAAAGGCTAGCTAAATGCGTAGACCAGTTTGCGAAGAAAGAATGTTATCCTCTTTTAAAGAGGATAAACAGATTTATAGATTTTCGGGGTATTTGAGTTCCCCTTCTTAAGACAACCGACTGTTGGTTCTGTCACTAGTGTAGTCGTAAAAACGAACAGCGCGTTTGCATACGGGTCGCCAGGTTGGCAGCGCACACAGTCAGCCTAGTGGCTGGAAACGCAGTGGGGCGCGGCCATGGGTGGCGAATTCAAGGCTTGAGCTCACAGTTCTGCGTAATCTTCGAGTTGTAAATTCGATGCCTTCTTTTATCTGTTCTGTGTTTTAGTCGCGTCTAATTTTCTCAAAATATTGCTTGAATTATATTCTTAAAGTAACGAATACTGCGTTCGAGATTAGTGGAAATGTAGTTGTATTTCCAAGATACTGCTCTATGACAATAAGTCTCCTATCTTTATTTTACAGTGAGCATGTAATTTTTGTAGAACTAATAAGACAATAACTATGACGATAAGGATAACTAAACGAATGTGAAAATGTTTGGATGAAATTGTCTGGAGACGGCAATTGCCCTGAACTTGAGAGGTGGAACGTTAGTTGCGTCACCAGCGACTTCTGTTTGTAAACTTTGAAACACGACAATAAAACTTAAAGAAAAACGACACAATGTTTGTGACCTATAGTACTTCTTTCTAACCCGATCTTTCCCTACCTCCTTTTTTTTCAACGCTGATTGTCAACCGACTCTACAGCTTGGGCACGGTGTAGATGTCGGTCATGAAGCACATGATGTTCCTGGGCTTGGCCTCCGTGCCGAGGTTGTACCCGATCTCGGTGCGCCAGGTGCCGTACTGGAAGATGGGCAGCCTGGGGACGGTGAAGTTGACGGGGGTCTCGTCCGCCAGGTAGACTCCCTGCAAAGCAAGACCGGTCAGGGAAGCTCGAGTCCGGGGGCCGCAAAAGCCTGGAGGCGAAGGCAGGTGGAGGTACCGGGGGAATGACGCACGGCGATTTGAGGAGTTTCTCCGGGTCCAGCTTGTAGATGGACCGCACGAAGCCCGGCATGTTCTCCGCCGTGGCCCTGCACATGCCGTTGGTGAACTTGAGGATGTGCGCGTTGTCCTTCCACTGGTTGTTGCTCCTGGACGCCGCCTTCAGGTACATCTGCAGAAGGAAAGCGTCGAACAACAGAGACGCTGTCTTTCACATCTTTCATTACCGCCGTGGCACGGCGAGTGCGCTGACAGTGCGCTGACTGTGCGCTGACAGTGCGCTGACAGTGCGCTGACGGCGAGCCACAGGCTAGGCGGCTAGGGGTGCAGGCCTTCGCGGTCCTCACCCAGCCCTTGTTGGTGAGGGGCATGGCCACGGTGACGTTGCCGGTTATCTTCTGCAGCTGGGTCTGCGAGTCGATCTGGCGGTTGCGGTGCTGGGACACCTTCACGTTCAGCTTGACCAGGTCCTCGGACTTGTTGTCGAGGCAGTCCGTGAACGGCCCCATCACGGGGATGAAGGGTCCCTGCGGAAGAAGGGGGAGTTAGAGCGGCGTCGCGCAGTGTGTCGGAGGACCGGCGCAGGCGGCCAAAACGCGTTTTCAGCTCCAGGGTCACAACCCAAGGACTCGAACCAAACGTGTGACCCCACCAATAGATTCCTCGTTCGCCGAGGGGGGAACAGCTTTCCACATTCGTTGTACAAAATTTGACCACATTCCACATTCAGGAGGCAAAAACGCCTGTAAGTAGGCAACATGTGTGGCAAAAAAGCAAGAAATCTTGCACATTCTTGCACATTCACACAATCATTGTACACAAAATTTTACAGTGGGTCACCCCTCGTCGTTCGGAGAGCATCCATTGGTGGAGTCACTCGTTCGTTCTGAGCCCCATTAAGCGACTCTGGAGCTCAAAACACGTCCGGGATTTTGACCGTGTCCACCAATCTTCTGTCGCGTCGTCGGCGTCTGGGAGAACGCGGCGACACGGGGCGACACCTCACCGCGAAGGAGTTGATCCACTTGGCGGCGGAGGCGGAGTAGCTTCCCTGGCGGCGACCGGGAGGGCCGCCCCACAGGAGGACGGCGAGCAGCAGCGCTCTCAGCATGGCGACGCTGGCGACGCGTCCACTGCAAGTGGCGTCCCCCCGGGCGGCGCACCAGGTCGCGGAGTGCGTGTCCGAGCCTTACATGTTTTCCAGGCAGCTCGTCAGCTGTCTGTCAACGCCGGGCGACGTCGGCCAAGGCCGCTCGTGTGCTCACGGGTACTGTCACTGCAGAATCAAAACGGGTGACTCCAAGTCCAAATATCAGCCCCGGAGATTTGAGCCTGATAAAAAGAACGCGGTTTTTTGGTTTATTTATTCTTTTACAACAAGACCGGGACCGATACCGAGCGATTGTTAGCTTTTGCGGCTGCCAAAGTCGATTCAAGCAAATTTTTTTAAATTAATTTTCAAGCAAAAAATATAGACAGCTGCAGGATAGCCCGTCGCAGCTTCGGCGCCTCGACTGCCGTGCGGCCTGCCGGGCCGTGGCGAGCCGCGCAGCCGCGCCTGCAAAGCTTCTCTTGAATGAGAGGCGGCAGTGCCCTGGCAGTGCCCTGGCAGTGTCGTCGCGGCGCCGACACGTGGACACCATGGTGGGCGTCGAGCCATTGAAGCTAGTTGAGAATGGGGAGCAGGCGCAGCGGCTGCTGCAGGCCCTGGCCAGGGACCTGCCTTACTCCATCCACGTGAGTAGAATTCGCAGTGCAGGCGCCATCGTCGGCGAGTGCAATGCCGTCATAGCGGGGGGTGGTGCCGTAGGTGACGAACATCGTCGAGAACCTGCTGGAGTACAATGCGGCGGGGCACCTGGACGGGGCCCCTGAGCTGCGCCGTGCTGCAGTGTACCGGTACGCGGAGGACGGCGACGCCAGCGACGGCGACGCGACAGTGGTCACCGTCTGCAAAGTCGTAAGGACTCGAGCCTTGAGCGAGGCCAGGGCCACGGCCAGGGCCACGGCCAGGGCCACGGCCAGGGCCACGGCCAGGGCCACGGCCAGGGCCACGGCCAGGGCCACGGCCAGGGCCACAGCCAGGGCCACGGCCAGGGCCACGGCCAGGGCCACGGCCAGGGCCACGGCCAGGGCCACGGCCAGGGCCACGGCCAGGGCCACGGCCAGGGCCACGGCCAGGGCCACGGCCAGGGCCACGGCCAGGGCCACGGCCAGGGCCACGGCCAGGGCCACGGCCAGGGCCACGGCCAGGGCCACGGCCAGGGCCACGGCCAGGGCCACGGCCAGGGCCACGGCCAGGGCCACGGCCAGGGCCACGGCCAGGGCCACGGCCAGGGCCACGGCCAGGGCCACGGCCAGGGCCACGGCCAGGGCCACGGCCAGGGCCACGGCCAGGGCCACGGCCAGGGGCGGGCAGTGCGGCCGGTAACGGCTGGTGGGCGTGCCTCAGGGGCCGCAGTACGTGACGGTGTGCTTGCACTCGACGGACACGACCAACGCGGCGCTGCGGCGCGTGCTGGCGGACTCGGCGGTGCTGCCCTGGGGCGAGGACATCCACTTCGACAGCGTGCACGAGCGCTGCGTCCCCGTGCTGCTGGAGGAGGTCCGGGCGCGCGCCGATCCCGCTTCCCCGCCCAGACTCTTCCTCACGGACAAGATGTACCTGCCCAAGGAGGAGGCCGTCAACATGGACGTCAGGTAGGCAAGGCCAGGCAAGGCTGTCCCCCGGTTCCCCCCGCGCTCCAGACTAACGCGTGCTTGGTTTGCAGCTGCCCGCCCGGATACGCGCTGCTCCCACTGGAGGTGAAGCACGCCGTCGCCGTGGCGTCGGCCTGGGGCAGCAACATTTGGCCAGGCGCCCTTGACATGGTCAAGAGCATCCTGATGAGGCACCCGGGAACGGTTTGGGGTGTGTTCCCCGCGGACCAGACAGGAGGTAGCCAAACGACCGGAGTCATTTTCGTGGCACGGATCCCGCGGCCGGTTTCATTGATCCAGGAACGCCTCTGTCCAGGACAGCCCGCGGCTCGGTTTCATTGATCCAGGAACGCCTCTGTCCAGGACAGCCCGCGGCTCGGTTTCATTGATCCAGGAACGCCTCTGTCCAGGACAGCCCGCGGCTCGGTTTCATGATCCAGGAACGCCTCTGTCCAGGACAGCCCGCGGCCGGTTTCATTGATCCAGGAACGCCTCTGTCCAGGACAGCCCGCGGCTCGGCCCGCGGCGCAGGTGGCGGGGGAAGGGGGCTTCCTGCGGATGCTGTTCACGGCCGAGGAGCACCGCCGCAAGGGCCTCGGCGGGCTGGTGACGCGCGCGGCCTGCAAGGTGCTGGCGGCGCGCGGCAAGGACCTCCACTGCAACATCGACCGGCCCAACCCCGCCTCCATGGCCACCTTCACCAAGCTCGGCTTCAGGAGGCTCTGCGAGTACACCTACGTCGTGTACTTCGCGCCGCGGCAGCCGCGGGCCACTCCTTGACGGGCACTACCAAGCTGGCTGCCAACAAAAAGAAATTAAATTACTGTTTTTTTTTAAGAACTGTTGAGACATTTTGACCCAAACGAGCGCAAGCCGTCTGGAGGACTTGACAACAGTCGCACGTGGATTAGCCGAGGCGCACCGCACTATCAGCACTTGTTATCTCGGAAGGACCTAGCCAGGAACGCATTTTCGGATGGTCCCTTCCCCCTCCCTTCCCCTCTGCCTATCAGAAAAAGAGGGGTGAGGATGGCTTTCGAAAAATTGGTTCCTGGTTCCCCTCCTTGAGAAATCGGGCAGTTCGCACAGTTCAAAACAGTCGTAAAGTCACAACAATTTTTCCAACAGAACACGCGTGTGGCTCGTTCCGAGTTGACAGCGTTGGCGAGAACAAGGCGACGTACGCTGCGGACGCGCGCGGCGCGGTGGCACGCGGTGGGAGCTACAGCTTGGGCACGGTGTAGATGTCGGTCATGAAGCACATGATGTTCCTGGGCTTGGCCTCGGTGCCGAGCACGAAGCCGATCTCCGTGCGCCATGTGCCGTACTGGAAGACGGGCAGCCTGGGGACGGTGAAGTTGACGGGGGTCTCGTCCGCCAGGTAGACTCCCTGGAAAGCAGCTCACAGTGGGCCAGAGGTTCGGGTGGAGGCGGCCGAAACTCTAGACGCGTTTTGAGCTCCAGGGTCGCTAAACGGGACCCGAAACGAACGTGTGACCGCAGCAATGGATCCGTCGTTCGGAGAGCATTCCATTGGTGGGGTCACACGTTCGGTCCCATTTAGCCACTCTGGACCTCAAGAGAGTCTTTGGCTGCCTCCGGCACGGGTCTTCTGGCCCACTTTGCAACGGCAACTGTCAAGGAGTCCGCCAATGAAGCCAGCAGGCGCTGAAGTAGAGTTACCGGAGGGATGACGCACGCCGAGTGGCGGGCTTTGTCCGGGTCGATCTTGTAGATCTGCCGCAGGAAGTCGGGCAGGTTCTCCGCCATGGCCCTGCAGATGCCGTTGCTGAACTTGAGGACGTGTGCGTTCTCCTTCCACTGGTTGTTGCTCCTCGACGCCCCCTTCATGTACATCTGCGCGGCAGAAGGCAACGCATCGGGTGACAAAGTCTAAATATTTTTAAAATCGCAACACCTGGTTGGTTGGGGGCTGCAGGCCTTCGCGGTCCTCACCCAGCCTTTGTTGCCTATGGGTACGGCCACGGTGACGTTGCCGGTTATCTTCTGCAGCTGGGTCTGCGAGTCGATCTGGCGGTTGCGGTGCTGGGACACCTTCACGTTCAGCTTGACCAGGTCCTCGGACTTCTTGTCGAGGCAGTCCGTGAACTGCCCCACCACGGGGATGAAGGGTCCCTGCGGAGGAAGGGGGGATCAGAGCGGCGGCGTCGGCGGCGTCTTGGGCCACGCGGCGACACGGGGCGACACCTCACCGCGAAGGAGTTGATCCACTTGGCGGCGGAGGCGGAGTAGCTTCCCTGGCGGCGACCGGGAGGGCCGCCCCACAGGAGGACGGCGAGCAGCAGCGCTCTCAGCATGGCGACGCTGGCGACGCGTCCACTGCAAGTGGCGTCCCCTCGTGCGTCACACCAGGTCGCGGAGTAGTGCGTGTTCAGAGCCTGACATGTTTTCCAGGCAGCTCGTCAGCTGTCTGTCAACGCCGGTAAACGCAACGCGTGCGCACACGCGCACCGGTACTGCCGCGTCAAAACGGACGATTTGAAATCGTGGCGCAGAAGATTTGCACCTGATAAATAGACCTCGGATTTTTGACCTCTTGCCCTTGGACAACAGCACCGGTTGGACGTACAAATGGCAGTTGTCAGCTTGCGATTTAAAGACCACTTACAGAAATTTCTCCCCCCACAGTAGGAACGAATTCCCTGACGACCTAACTCACTGACATTGAGCGTATCATCGAAAACAAATCAAATCATTCGCTATCGAGCAGGTGCTTGACCGTCTTTATCGATTTGGTCCGATCGAAGAGACAAGGCCCTCTGCTTGCGGATGCCAGCCAGTTCCTTCAAAGGCATCACCATGAAAGCAGCTCTCGTCTTCCTCGTCGTGGCCGTCGCCGCCGCCCTGGCGCAGGTTGGTGGATTTCGCCACGGCCCCGTCTCTGCAATTTAAATGCGTCTGCCTCAAAATTCCATTGTAACCTCTGTCGACAGGCTGCTGACTACAACGGCGTCGTCCAAGTGGAGAAGGGTAAGCTTTATTCTGCAACTGAAGCAAGGGCGGATCCAGAGACGGGTTCAGGGGGGGGGGCGATGTCTCAAAAGTTGCCTACCTACAGGGGCTAAGTGCGACTAGTTGTCTACCTTTCAGGCGGCCCCACCGCCTTGCCCCCCCCCCCCCCCCCCCTGGATCCGCGCCTCAACTGAAGCGGCCGTCCCCATTTTTGAGCTTGAAACTGACGACTGTCCAATCACAGCCGTCCCCGCCAACTTGGTCTCCACGGCCAGCTGCCTGCTGTCGGCCGTCCGCGAGGCCTTCTCGGTCGCCGCCAGAGTGGTGGGCGTCTGCCTCTCGGAGCCGCAGAACATCAGCGTGTGCATCATGGAGATCATCCCCCAGGTCTTCCAGGACGCCCGCTTCGCCTTCAGGGACTGCCAAGGCACCGCCTAAAACAAGTCGCATCAATAAATGACTCTGCCGCTCTCTTGGTCGTCTCCATCTTTCCCGCGAAATCTGGCAACACCCACGGACTACCCCCATAAAACCACTCCAGGCACAACAACATCGGCTACACTTGAACCCGGTGAATGTCGGCACATTGTTGTTATCGCGTTCCGGCTGTCTCTGACTTCCCTCTCTCTCGCTCAGTGTTGGCCGATCTGACTCAGTGAGCGCGTCACGCCGCGTCACGCGACGAGTACTTGGCTCGCCACGGCTGGAGTGGAGGCCCTCGCTTATTTCTCGTTGCCAAGCGTTTATCTTTCGTATCACTCTGGGTCTCAATCATCACGTTCGTCAAATTCGAGATACTGCAACCACTTGCTGCTGTCGCTAAACTGTATACTCCTACCGCCAAATGCAGATTAGATTTAGATTGGATGGCCTTACCGCCGACAAAGTGATGCTAATTGATGCATACAAGCACGAAGAATGTTGAACTGAATGGGCCGCCAGGAGAGACTTATGAAGAGACTCGGAAAGCGCCTGCGAATGCTGGATAGGCAACCCGAACACACGCGTGCCGTCACATCCAGAGCATTGCCTACCTCCCGGGCGCCAAAGGGTTGGCTCTGCCCTCCGTCGCCGCATATGCCCAGCACTGCAGTCTTCCCGATACACTCGTAAAGGCATGAGAGTATCGGAATCAGGCTAGTGAATGTTCATACGCTTGTTTTTGCACAGGTCCCAAAATGTGCAAAAGAAAACGGAGACAATTTTACATTCATCAAAAATGAGTAAAAGTTTGAAATTAACTTTATTTTCCTCCACAGAACACGGCATAAATTAGACAAATTAAAAATAGTTATATTTCTACAGAAGGCCTTGTTGCCTTTTAAAATCTGACAGTTTGTCCAGCAATAACTTTTTTTCGTCAGATGAAGCGAAAGAAACTTCTATAGCTTTTTGAGTAAAATTACATAATTCCATCTTGGAAAGACTAAAAGTCTCTGCAACTACTCTGAATTCTTCTGAAAGAGTGGTTGAAAACACAGCTTTGTCATCAGTCTGAAAGAACAGAAATGAAAAAAGACAGATAACTTTTTGTAAACTTTTGAGGGAGAAACAGATTTGGATGGATAATTTATGACTTACAGAAATGACAATTGGATATTGGATGGGGAGGAGTTTTTGTATATGATGCTTTTCGTAACTCTCAACAGTTTGACATTTTAAATTAGATGTCAGACACACTTCTGAAAAGAAGAAAAAAAAGGAATAAAATCATGGACTTGTAACTCTAAGTTGTCATAAAAAGTAATTAGCTGTACCTAGAGGTGTTCTGTACTGCAGGAATAAACTCCATAATTTGTCAGTTCCGCCATAATTGGGGTGAATGCAGGTGCCATGGCCAAGGCGGTCTGCTTTGAATTTTAATATTGCTTCCACTTCATCTTCATTAGGTATCTAAGAATACAATGGGGCAAAATAGATTTTTTAAAACATGAAAACTTATAAGGCAGGGGATTAAAAACAGAACAGAATGACTTTTCACCTCAGCACAATGCAAAGCAATTTTTAGTCCTGAGACCCTAGCATTGGTAAACAGTGGCAAAATTTCATCTGTCACATTGCCACAGCTTGGATTGCCACTCAAATCAACTCCAACAACAACTTCAGGATAAGCGACATGTGCTGCAATAGCTGCTTTTATATTTTCCTCAGCCTCTGTTAGGCCTTCTCGACGATTTACAGATAGGAGCAATTTAACAACGATAAATTTATCTGGACCAATGAAAGTAGGTATTTCCCTAGTAAAATAAGAATATAGCATAAATTGAAGTAGAAGAAAAAAAATCAGCAAACCATTTTACTTTGTGTGATAATTTGTCAAAACTCACTGAATAGTATCAATAACTGCTTGGATATATTGGGTTTTTGTCATTGCACCTGGAACTGCCCTTGGTGTAGTGCGAATTTCCAAATACATCACATTATCAGCAGCGAATTCACAGATTACGTCTTTCGTTACTTTCTTAACAGCATTTGGGGTCACAGTTACAGCATGAGCAATGTCAAATGCCTTGAAGCAGCTGAAATAAAAAAAGTAAATTGGGAGATATAACAACATTTACAAGCGTAATTAGAGAAACATAATACTTACTCCTCCAAAGTTCGTTCTTCACCAGAATGAAAAGATGAAATAAGTTTAATAATATCGTCACTCTTGGTAATATTTGGATCAGACATGTAGAGCTCATAGAGCACTTTTTGACTTAATGATCCATTGAGATGAGCATGGAGTTCCTGGAACAAGGAAGTCAAAGAAATACTAAAGGTACTATGACAATCAATGAAAGAACCATCGGTAACACAAAAGGCTTTAGAGGTTACGAGTACAAAAGAGAGGCAGTCACATGCGTAACACAGGGTGTGCAATAAATTAGTTCTTACAACTTTCGGTAGATGAGAGCAAAATGATTCCATGGTAAGACAGGAACGAGATTTCGGTCCAGCTGTCTCTGCTATTCGAATCCGAGTTGATAAGATAACACAGCGCGGCAAGAAAACAGCTGACAGACGACAGGCCAGTCACGGCCTGCTTGAGTGTGGTGGACTGGCGCGCTTGCGGCCACGGCCACCCAGATCTCCCACCGCGCCACCCGCCCTATTTCAAATTTCGGGAGGCTGCCAGCTGAGCCGTTGAACTACGGACGAAGGAAAAGGAGTTTCAAAGTTTCACCATGCTGCCATTCTACGTAGACTGTAGAAGTTAAGTTTAAAATGGATTAAATCACTTGTTTCCTCGATTTCTCATTCACCATGAATGAAAATGAAGATAGTGTGAACGGACCCGCTTCCGAGTTTCCCTCCAGCAGTCAAGATTCGGGGCCCATGTCTTTAGATGCAGACGACATACCTACTCACAAAGAGCCCCCGACAAATTCTTACTCGTAAGTAAATGCATTTTTCCTGATTGAATGGCCATCTGCAACCAAAACCATCTAACAAGTTACAGGTTTTCATGTGGACATGTAAGCATGAATTCTTCATCTGTGACTAATCGGCCAAGGCCTCAGTTTCTTGAGAATGGGCTCCGATCAATTCAAGAGATCCGTATCCTTCCTTGCAACATTGTGACAAGTGCACCCAAGCCCTCATGTTAATCATGCTAATGAAAATTCCATCATCCTGCGTTTATTCTTAACTATTCAAAGCTGAACGCTACCGACATGTCTTCGGAGATTACCCATGCTTCAATCGGATACAGTCCATGGTCATGGATGTCGTGTTTTATTCAAGTAAAGAAAAATATTTTTTGTGTTAGAATTTATGTGACTTACAGTTTATCATATAGTTATTCATTATTTCCTCTTTTGTAGGTGAACCCTTGGTGGTAACTGCTCCTACTGGATCAGGAAAAACTGTGTTATTTGAATTGGCTATAATTCATTTGCTTATGTCCTTTGAAAGCTCCTCAGTTCAAGATGACTTTAAGATAGTTTACAGTATGTTTTATCAATTTCAATAATTTTATACATAAATCAATATGTTGTTTGTTTATTTTTCTCACTTTTTGGTGCAGTGGCTCCTGTGAAAGCTTTATGCACTGAAAAGTTGCATGACTGGGCGAGGAAATTTGCAAAGCTGAACATAAATTGTTTGGAGGTAACAGGAGACTCAGAGATCACTGATCTTGATTATTTAAAGAAACATCAACTTATACTGACTACCCCAGAAAAGTGGGATTCATTGACCCGACGTTGGAGAGATCATGCGAGTCTTATGAAATCGGTCCGCCTCTTCTTGATTGATGAGGTACCACTTCTACGACTTGTTAAGTCATAATATGAGGTTTTACTTTTTTGTTTAATCACATTAATTTTTGTCGAAGGTTCATATCTTAAATGATGAAACCAGAGGGCCAACTCTTGAAGCTGTTGTTAGTCGGATGAAGATGCTCAAATTCCAGCAGTATTCAGACAACCAATCATTGCCAAGCCTTCGATTTATTGCTGTCTCGGCAACCATTCCAAATGTAGAAGATCTTGCCCAGTGGTTGGGCAGCCATCATGAACGCTCAGCTAAGCTTTTCAAGTCAGTATCTTTGACTTATATTTGACCCCTTCTAATTATATTTTAACTTCACTTCATTTAATGTTTTTTCCTCCCAGAATTGATGAGGAAATGCGCCCAGTCAAGTTGACAAAGATTGTGAAAGGCTATGAACAGAAGGGAGGCAGTTACATGTTTGACATTCATCTTAGTTACAAACTTAAACCAATAATATCTCAGTATTCAGATGGAAAACCAACTCTGGTAAGTAAATGTGGTACTCTGTTTCACTTGTTTCAATCCCTGTTACAGTTCTTGTATTGTAATCAATTTATTCATATTTCTTTATCTTCAAAGGTATTTTGCAGCACTCGTAAAAGTGTGCTTGCAACAGCAGAAGTATTGGCCAAAATGATCACGTTCAACTTTACAGAAAATCAGAAAGTAGAACTGTTGCAACTAAGTGATCAGGTTGTTGATAAAAAGGTCAGAGGTAAGTCCTCTGCCAAATTTTGTTAATTTACTGTATAATTTTTCAACTATTGCACAATCAAGGGTCTTATACAATTTTTCTGAATTATTTTTTTAAGAGTCATTGATGGTTGGCATTGGATGCCATCATGCTGGTTTGGTCATGAGTGATCGAAACCTTCTTGAGAAAGCTTTCCGTGATGGCCTGCTTCCTGTACTCATTGCCACCTCCACTCTAGGTACGCCTTCCTTTAGCACTGTACCCGTACTCCGGCTTGAACATGCAGCATAAATTCATGTGTCTGTGCCCCTCAGCCATGGGCGTCAACTTGCCGGCCCACCTGGTGGTGGTGAAGAGCACCCAGTTCTACGGCAGCGGCGGCTACCAGGAGTACTCGGACAGCCAGCTGCTGCAGATGATAGGGCGCGCGGGCCGGCCCCAGTTCGACACCACGGCCACGGCAGTCATCATGACGCGGGCCTCCCTCCAGGTAAGGTAGACGTGCCAGCGGGCATCCGCGGGCCGGGCGGCCACAGCCACAGGCTCGCGTCGCCTGGCGCATAGTCAATCCTTCCTGCAGCCTCGCGTCTGCTGGCGGGGCGGATGGACAAGGAGCTTCGCCTGGCGCGTAGGCAACCCTTCCTGCAGCCGCGCGTGGCCTGGCCCCCGCGTCGACCCATGTGGCTCCATGGCTGCTCTTGCTCCCTGCGTGGTGCCGCTGCCACGCTCTGGCGCCTCGTGCTGCGCGTGCTGCGCATCTCCGTGGAGACGGACGGCCGGACGCGGAATGGTAATGACGGTAATGACGCCACTGCAGGGAGATGTCAAGGCGGTCCGGGGGTGCCGATGGCTCGCCCGCTCGGCCTGGCTCGGCCTGGCCCCGCCGATGGAGACCAGGGTAAGCGAGCCAGAAAGGGCCCCTGCCGTTGCGCAGCAGACTATGATCCCAAGAGGCGCTTTGGCCACTGTCTCTCTCGCGCTCACGGGGCGATGAAAGCGCGTCTCGGAACCAGTCTGCACGGCGGGGCTGCGCGCTGCGCCTCGAGCCCGGCCAAGTTGATGCCAATAATTTGCCAGCGCTCGGGGCATCGAAATCGAAATTGGCGGGAATTGCAAGCGACCGTGTCAAGGCTGGGCGACGCGGGGCGACGAGGGCGAGGGTGTGTGGTGAGTCAAGGGTGCGGCTGTGTGTGCGTGACGAGGAAACGGCGTTCGAACTCGGACCCGCGACGTTGGCGCTGCACTGCGCTGCACTGCGCTGCCGTAGGGAAGGCCCGCCGTACTCTGCTCTGCGGCAAGGTCTCCGCCTGTACTGGCCTAGGAGGGAGTTGGTGGTTTGTGGGGATCGTTTTGGATGAAGGGCTTCTTAAGAATGACGCACATTCGATTGTTTAAAAAAGATCAACACATTTTTATTCACTAACTCAACAAAGTCTGCAACGAATGCTGGGCGGTGGTAGAACCAGCCTGTCTGGTGATGGCCGAAGCCCTTGAGTGTGGCTTTCGCCAGTTCGCGACGGCTTTCGCTGACTGTGTTGTACAATGGATATGGCAGTTTTGATTTATTTTTCAAAATTACATAAATTGAAAAAAAAAACGGGGCTGAATGCCGCTGCATCTTCTTACATTACATTATCACAAAAGCAGGTCTCCTGTCCGGACGGAGGTACCTGCCACGACGGGTCCTCCGTCAGGGATGGCAAAGAGAAGGAGAGAGGTAGAAAAAAAATATGAAGAAAAAAACAGAGTCAAGGCACTGGTGGGTAACATTGAATGTAGGAACAATAATTCCCAGGGCGTCAGTGCGCGGGCGAGGCGAGGCGGCGGCAGTGTGAACACTTCGCACTTGTTTTCTCCGCACGCCGCGATGGCCGCAATGCTGATCGGCGAAACAGCGTGGAATTCCTATGGCGGGAAATTGTGCATGAGCAGAACGGTGGCTCGCTGTGGCGCTGTGGCGTGGGGCCACCGGGACGGAGGGGAAGGAGGAGGGGGCGGGTGCGCTGCCCCGATGGAAGCCCGAATGGCGCTGGCGGAGGAGAGCCTGGGGTCGAAGCCGAACCCGCGACTCGGCGCTGTGACTAGCCGCTGGTCGTCTCGGGGGTCGCCGCGCCTAACCGGACACGGGCTGGCGTGGCGACGTGGCGGGTCGGTGGGCAGTGCGGCCCGCGTCGAGGCGTGGCGTGGCGGCGGCCCGGCAGGCCCCTCTACCGCGAGAAGGTGATCTTGGGCACGAAGCCGCTGTCGCCGTCCACGGTGTACTCCACCGTCATGGTGCGGCCGTCCGCCAGCAGCACGTAGTACTTGCCGGTCACCTTGCCGCTCTCGTCGCCCACCTCGTTGTGGCCGTAGTTGTTCTTGGACTCGGCGTCGTCCACCTTCCAGTCGAACTCGTACTGCAAGGGCAGGAGGGTGTTAGTGTGGCGCAGCGAGCGCACCGCGGAAGGGACCCGATCCGCATCGCCTTGGCGCGCGCCGCGCGCGTGTCTCGGCGCAAGCGTTTCCCTCTCCGTGGGAAGCACGCTAAAAAACGGGAGGAAAAAGTGGATTTGAAATTTGAAGCGTGGCTACTCACCGGCATGGGCTTCTCGTCGGCCGGCGGGGCGCCTCCCTGCGGCCGGGCGTGCGTGAGCGCCACGGCGACCAGCGACAGGACGACCAGGACCTTCATCATCTCGAACTGTCACAAACAAAAAAGCAGGCGGTTAGTCGCAATACAAGACAACGCCCTGAGAACGACGCGCCATTAAGATGGCGCAATGCTAAACAGCTAAATTTACAATAAAACAGAAATAAAAATAAGTAAGAAGACACGTGCGAAGCCGCCTTGGCGCGAGACGCGAGGCGAGACGCGAGGCGAGACGCGTTGTCAGTCTCTAGGTTACGGTCAAGTGACCTGGGGTGTTACTTCCGGATGGGATAAGATGCACATGCGCACGCCTCAAGCACTCTGGGCCGCGGGCACTCTAGAGCCTAGGGCCGGGAGGGGAAGGGGGTGGCGGTGGGTGCCTTGACGTCAAGTCGAGTGAAGATGGAACCCGTTTGCCCACACTGCAACGCGTCCTTGCCGAGTCCTCATAGCGCCTGACCTCTCCGGCGCCGTGTCCTCAGCGCGGCGCTCGGCGTCGCGGGGGTTCAAGCGCCGGCAGGCCATCGCCATGCCGCCAGGCCTATAGCAGTGGCGTGGTTATCGCCGTGTGTCAATAATCAATGAGTCAGACAGGCAGGCATTACCGCGCATGCGCGGCGTAAAGGTTTTCAAGCTTTTTCACTTGGGGCGCTGCCTGGCTGGGGCACTGCTGGAACGACTCTGCCGGAGTTGAACAAGCAGTCCCCTCCTCCGCGTGGCTCTGCCGTACGCAGCCTACACCCTGTACTTAACACTGCCCTGGCATTTTCTGTCCGGCCCGGGCCGCGCAGGGCCGCGCACTGGGCAACAGACACATCGAAACGGCCTGCGAAGTCTTGATCGTTCCCCCGAGACAAGTGAGCGTGAGGCTCGCGATGCCGCCGCCGATACTCGCTGATAGGCCTGATAGGCGCGCGGCTCGACACGACAACGCACCGCCGGCCACGCAGACACAATGCACGCCGGCACGCCGCATTGCACATGCACTTTGCGCTCGCTGTACGCGTTGTGCGCGTTGTGCGCACGCGGTCGCATCGGGTCAGCTCGCTCGCCTGGCGAGCCGTCCTGGCACTCGGTCGCCTTGTAGAGCGCGGCGTGCCTCTGCACAGTGGGCCAGAAGACTGGTGGAGGCGGCCGAAATTCTAGACGCGTTTTGAGCTCCAGAGTCGCTTAATGGGACTCGAACCGAGCGTGTGACCTTACCAATGATTGCTCTTCGAACGAGGAATCAATTGGTGGGGTCACACGGTCGGTTCGAGTCCTGTAAAGTGACTCCGGAGCTCCAAACGCGTCAAGAATTTTGTCCGCCTCCATCGGTCTTCTGGCCCACTGTGCTGTGGCCACTGGCAGTGTGCCGCGGTGCGCCGGGTAGCAGGTTGCACCGGGACGGCCGGGACGCCCTCGGTGACCCGCCACGGCCGCCACCCGGCACACGCCGTAAATCTCTTATTGTCGTTGTCGTCGTCGTCCGCAGCGCCGTGGCACTCGACTTGCACTCCATCGAGGCACGCCGCCTGGAGGGTAGGCCGCGCGCCGACGGGTGTGTGCGGCCTGGGGGCCTACCCGCGCTTCGCAGGCGCTAGGCCTCCTGCCGCCGCGAGGACATGCCACTTTCTGAACATCCTTCCCTGCGAACGGCAGGGAAGGCACTAATAGACTGCCCTTTTAAAGGTGTAGGAGCTGATAACTCGCAAGGCAGATCACAGTGCGGAAAAGTCAATGCTAGCGCGGTGAGTCCTCGTGTGTGCACTGTGCTCCTCCGCGGGTGAATCAGGCCGCCGGGACGCCGCGCCGCGCCGCGCATCCTCGAGGCCCTCCAAGGACGGGCCGCTAATGTTAGCCCGCGACGCGCCACGCGCATCCGTGACTCCACGCTTCCTCGTCGCCGCGCCGCCGCGCCGCCGCCGCGTCGGCCCGGTCGGTGCGGCCGCCGCGATCGGGCTGCCAGGCACTGCCAGGCCGCTGACGACACGGGCCGGGACCTTTTGACCTTTGCACCCTATGGGACCCGCCGGGACCGCGCCCGCGGGCAGGTGTGCAAGTGCGCAAGTGTGAGCATAGGCATATAGCATGGCGGAGTCGCAACGCGTCGGCGGGCAGGTGCGGCCCGGGCGGCGGGCGGGCGGCGGGCGGGCGGCGCGGGGAAGGACGACAAGGAGAGGTTGCGCGAGACAAAGAGAGAAGAAAGCGGCGCATCAGGAGCAGTGGCGGGAGGGCGGCCCGATCCGTATCGACGCGCACCGCCACCGCTGCAACCGATACGCCTGTGTGCCTGTCTCTCTCGCACCCGCGGGACAGACGGAGCGGCGCGGCGCTATGCAGGCACTAATGGCCTGGCGAGGCGCTTGGCGCCCACCCACCCCGCCCACTATCGCGGCATCGCGGGTCATCGCGGCATCTGATTTGATTACGGCCAAACAACGCCGTTCATCGCCGAGCTTTCCTTCCCGCCGCGTCGTCCGTCTCCCAGCCTCGCGGGACGCCCCGCGGAGTGCGAGAGAGACAGAGCGACGAGGCCATCCCTCGGTATCGCCCGGCAGGCCACGCCGCGTCGTCCGTCTCCCAGCCTCGCGGGACGCCCCGCGGAGTGCGAGAGAGACAGAGCGACGAGGCCATCCCTCGGTATCGCCCGGCAGGCCACGCCGCGTCGTCCGTCTCCCAGCCTCGCGGGACGCCCCGCGGAGTGCGAGAGAGACAGAGCGACGAGGCCATCCCTCGGTATCGCCCGGCAGGCCACGCCGCGTCGTCCGTCTCCCAGCCTCGCGGGACGCCCCGCGGAGTGCGAGAGAGACAGAGCGACGAGGCCATCCCTCGGTATCGCCCGGCAGGCCACGCCGCGTCGTCCGTCTCCCAGCCTCGCG